CATGCAGCAGACCATGTGTCAACATATGCAGAGTCTGTGCAGACACACAGACCCTCTGGAGAGTATATGTCTGAGTTTGATGAAGAGGAGCAGTTTTATGTGAACCTGGATGAGAAGGAGATGGTCTGGCATCTACCAGAGTTTATTCACACCTTTGACTGTGGCGCTCAGAGGTGTATTGCTGGCATCGTCATGGCAAGGAAGCACTTAAACAGCTGGTTCAATGGTCCAAACAGGCCTCGGCCACAAATGGCACTGCCTATAGCTGCCTGTTCCTCTACAGTCCAACTGGAGGGATAGGAGGGCCTCTCTGCCACACAGAGAACTAGAAGCCAATGCTGCCCACTCATGAATGAGCCCTTTCCCTGAGAGCGAGCAGTGTTGGGTCCACACAGCTGGGTTCTTAGGACAGCAGAGGGGGAGGTGTTTTCTTCTTACTCAAGAGAAAGGCTAGACTGAGGGGCCCAGGTCAGGAGCATGAGAGGCTGTGACCCTGCCCAGGATCCCTGGGGGAGCAGGAGGATGTGCCTGGGAGAGGTGGCCCCTAATCTGGTGAATATAGGGCTTGGGGTGGTGGAACCTTTGAGACTCAGTCAATGGCGGTAGGCTCATTGTGTTCTATCCCCTTTTGGAACCCCCCGATGTGACTGTCTTTCCTAAGGAGCCTGTGGCGCTGGGCCAGCCCCACACCCTCATCTGCCATGTTGATAAGTTCTTCCTGCCGGCGCTGAACATCACGTGGCTGCACAATGGAGTCAGTCATTGAGGGTATTGCAGAGACCATCTTCCTGCCCAGCAAGAAGCTCAGTTTCCACAGGTTCCACTACCCGATCCTCCTTCCCATGGCCGAGGACACCCGTGACCTCCAGGGGGAGCACTGGCACCTGCACCAGCCTCTCCTCAGACACTGGGGTATGGGTTGCCCTCCCTCTGCCATCATGGCATTGGCACCACCTTTATTTCCTGGACCCATCACTCCTCAGCACCTGCTTTCCTCAATCCTATGTTTTATGGTCACTTTATCCAAATTTCACCATCTCATAATTTCAAATACCCAACACCTCCCACACCCAAGGCCAGCCTCTGCTCTCTGTACCTTATTACTCTGTCTTCCCTTGGTGGCCCAGAGGTCCGGGAACTAATCCAGGTGCCTGAGACCATGGAGATGCTGGTCTGTGCCCTGGGCTGCTGGTGGGCCTGGCAGGGGATCCTCAATGGCACCATCGTCTCAAAGACCAAGTGATCTGACAGCATCCCTGGGTCCAGGGGCTCTTGTGAGTCATCCTAGAGGTGCATTAGGGACACAGTGGAATAGACGAGATAAAAAGTTAGGGGTGAAGAATGGAAAAGAGAAACACTTTATCAGGGGCTCTTTGAGCACTGATGTTTTAGTGTCATTGGGCTGGATGAAAACACTAACAAATGTAATGAGAAATGACATTCGTTGGGTTGCTTACTGTGTTCCAGGCACTATTCTAAGTGCTTCTCATGTGTTCACTTATTTACATGTGGAGGTTGGTTCTTATTTATTTCATGTTACAGAGGGGGAATCAGACACGGGGGGAGGTGAAGGCCACACAACTTCAAAGTGCAAAGCTTGGATTTAAACTCAGGCTTTGGGCCAGCAGTGGCTGCAGTCTTGTCCAGTATTAGATTATTTCATCTGCACCCACAATCTGTCTTCCTCCATTTTACACAGCCTTAATTTTCTTCTGCCCGCAGAGGGATGTTCAGAACTTCCAATGCCACGTTAAACATTTCCAGCAACGAAGGACATCCTATCTTTTGCACAATCTCACAGGGAATCCACCTCATTTCTTTGAAATATATATGCTGTAGATTTTTGGTTCACTATCTTTAACACGTCATGAAATTGATTAAATTCTGTCTATGTCTTGAGCTGAATTCAGTTTAAATTAATATGAATTTTGTGGAGTCCACTAATGTGTTAACCACATTATATATTTTCTGACACTGAAGAATCATTGCATTCCTAGAATAAATCTAAATTGGTCAAAACTGATTGTTTTTATAATGTACTGTTAGATTCAGTGACTGGCTCTGGAAATACGAATGAACCAACCTCATAAAATGATCTCAAAAATGCTGTTCCATTCTGTTTTCTAGAATCACACATGTAAGAGGCATAATCTGCTCCTGGAAATGTGGGAGGTTGCTCCTAACGGCAATATGATCAGGACAGGGCCTTTTGGAAGGCGATTCTTTGCTTCCCATGACAATTTCTTTGATATTCTCTACTCTATTTTAGTTTTCTATTTCTTCCTGTCGTTTTGACCTTTATATCTTTCTAGAAATGTATCCATTTTATCTAAACTTTCAACTTTATACGTATAGAGTTGGTTGTAAGATTTCGCATTTTAAAATGTGTGTACAAACAGTCATTTCCCCTTTTCATTCTGAATCTCCTGTATTTTCCTTAGGAGTCTTGCCAGAGGTCTCATTAAGTTTTCATTGCCTCAAAATTTGATTTTGTTTGTCTTCCCTATTTTTATATTTCATTGAATTCAGCTTTTGTCCTTATTGTTTACACGTATTTTCTTTTTGCTGTTTTTCTACTTTTCCATCCTCTTAATTCACATAATTATCTCGTTTGTTTTCAGTCATTTCGCTCTAACAAAATTGTTTAACAAATAGTCTGACATTCTATGCAGCATTTTGAATGAACTTATTTCATCTTTCTATAAAGACTAAACATTATGTTTTCAGTTATTTCCTCTCCCTCCACTATTTCGCTGACTTTCTAGATGTCTAATTATCAAGGTGTCAGATGTCTGTTTCTATCCTTCATTTCTCTTCACTTTTCCTTTACATTTTCTATTGTTTGCTCCATCATATTTTCCTTGGGGCAGTTTCTCAGCCTGACTTTTTGCTTATTAATTACACTTCAGTTGCAAAAGTCCTATTTATTATCTCATTTATTATGTTTCTTATTCCAATCTTTATCAAAACTCAGTATTTGTGCTTGATTCGTTGGCTTCTTGCTTTTGCTTCAAATTTCCAAATTCTCCTTTACTTCTCTATTTAAGCCCTTTTATTGTGAGCTAGGGGACATTTGGAAGAAACACACAAACCAATAGAACGTACGTTGAATGATTACCACCACAAGCACTCATGTAACTAGCACCTGGGTGAAGAAATAGACTGTTGCCAGTATCCATGTGCCTCTCCTTAGGCCAGGAGGTAGTTTGTAAACTTTTCAGGAGCCAAAGGCTACTGATATCCATAATGCCTAGCATTGCTCCTGGTACACAGTAGGTCTTCCATAAATATCTCTTGTAGAAGTATTTTATTATTTATTTAATAGGTACTTCTTAAATATTTTCCACTTTCAAGGATTCCCACTCACTTGAAGTTAGTTGCAGCCATGTGATTTACATTGGAAAATGAGATGTGAGAAGTGTGTTCTTTCTAGGAGGGATCATTAAGAGCCAGTGAATGATTTCTTAGGTTCCCTTCATTCTTCTGGGGAGGTTCTGGGAGCAGAGGTGCAGGAGAAAGCCTGTCAGCCTGGCTTCCTGAGTAAGACGATGAGCAGAGCTTCCCGGACGACTTACTTTGGATGTGTAGCATGAGCCAAACCTGGATATCTGGGTATTTGTTACTTTAGCACAGCTGATCCTATTCTTACTGTGTAAAAGGAGTTGAAGGGAAGGTGCTCAATGAGACTTCAAATAAACTGAGGGACAAGAGGACTAGGAGGATGTTTCATCCCATAAGCCAAGTGCACAGGAATTTCAGGGACAGTTTAGAATGCGACATGCTGTAAAGACGTCAACTATGGCAAGTGTTCACTGGCCTGGTAGCAAGTGGTTATTAGAACTCCTTTAAAGAGCATCTTCACAGCCAGTGCCCAAATCCCACCTCCTTCCACTTTCACCATCCCCTGGCTCAGCCTCACTGCTGCTTGACAAATGGGGACAAAGAAAGGGTGAAATGACTTCTCCTTAGGGTACCCCTTGATCACTACCTGAGGCAGCATCATCTGTTGGGTGGACCACCTTCTCCTTAGGGGACTCTGAGGGGTAGAAAATGAAGGGACCAGGTGGAAAGGGATGGGAGGTACAACACTCAGCTGGGAGTCCTAAGCCCGTTGGGTTTGTTCTACTGCAGGTGTCAATCTTTCTGAGTCAGAGGCTGACACAGGGGAGTCACCAGCTTCAGCTCTCCTTTAAAACTCCAGTCCCAGCTTTCCTTTGAATCTCTGCTTTTCAACCCCAATGACTGATGTACCTCAAGACTCCTCTGCCTCCTGGCTGCCTTTGATCTTTCTGCACATAGCACTCAGCAAAGGGCCTGAAATTTAGAAAACTCTCTATAAATATTGAAAATGTGAAGTGTAGTGACAAGGTGGTCCCCAGTTTGGATGGTGTCTCAGCTCTTGTCTCCTCTGGGACCTCTCTCTGCACTGCATCCTTCCTTAGAAATCCCAGAGCTTCATAAATACCAGCATATGTCAGAGTGAGACACGTGTTACACTATCTTTCCATGACTGCAGGGCATTTCCTCATCTCCTTATACCCTCAATTCCCTAGGAGCACATATCCTGTTCCTGTAATGTGGGTGCAGATCCCTCAGCTTCTGATCCTGCCAGGTGTTAGTCCAGAGATTGTTCACTCCACTCTGGGTACTCCCTAACCTGTAACGTGGGTACAGGTGACAAGCATGGAACAGAATGACTCTGATGGGATATGGTTTATAATGTTGACTGCTCAGTGCCTCTGAGGGTAGGATTTATGTGCTCTGGGTCTGAGGATTTCACAGTGATCTTGATTTGAAGACTTTCTGCAATTCTCATGACCTCTTTCCATCGTTGAATCCCTGGATTAAAATAATATTAATTTTCTGCTGCATAGGTTTCTCCCAAGTTGGCTGTGAAGCTAAAAGGGAAAATAAGACAGAAAAAGGGTCCTCATTTATTTACTATATATTGTCCTGGTTACCTCATCATGTGACAGCTGAAATTACTACACAGAAACAAGTCAGTAGCATTTTCCTTTATAGTTTTTGAGGAAACGAGGCTGAGCAGGGATAAGGATGTTTTAAAAAGAAAAAATGATTGTGTCCTATTCCCTAGGTTAAGAAGACTCTACGAGACATGATTGGTTTTCCTTGTGGGTGGCTTCTCTTTCCTGACTCCCTCACCTCGTGATCCTCTCTGCAGACTCTAGCTATATTTACTTATATCTGTGCCAGTGACATCCAATCTGTACCTTCAGCCCCACTTCTCTTGGAATTGGAGGAAGCTGGTCCCCAGATGCAGGGCATTATTTGCAAGGGGAGGTGGGAGAGAGAAGCACAGTAGCTTGTGGGAATCGTCCAGGGACAGGCGCCCAGGGACACATAAGGCCCAGAAGAAGCTTGTAAGAAGCCATGGAGAGGGAAGGCATCAACTGGATGTGTCAGAGAGCTGCTGAGCACTCATTATGTGTATCAGGAGCGAAGAATCTATCCTCTTCATGAAAAGGAAAGCTTACACCAAACATGTCTTCTACCTTGACTGAAAGGTGTCAATATGAGGCGAAAAACACAGAATGATGTTGGATTGAAAAAAAAAAAAGAAAGAAAAAATGACCAGTGCTTGAAGAAGAGTGCTACACATATTGCTTTGCTCTTTTCCCAACGCGGAGGCGTTTCTGTCTATGTGAAAATGAAGACAGGAGGCCGAGGCTGGTGGATGAATGCAGACTTAGAGGATAAATCACGTCTACTTGATGCATTCGAAAGGCCAAGCTAGATTTGGTTAAGGAGTATTTGTGATGGCATGTGAAAAAAATGTTTAAAGGGTATTAGATTATATTTATAATTTTAAATTCTGATGTTCATTTAATTTCTTAATGCTAATGATAAAACGTGCTCTCAGTAAGTTGTATGTTGGATCAGAGCTGTGTGAATATGGGTCCTAACAGGCAGATTTGCAGTCTGTTCACCATGGAATAGCTAAGAATAGTGGTCTGAGATCTAAATGGATGAAGGCACTAAACTTGATTTGGGGGCAGCTCACTTAAATCCAGTAAATTCAGAAGAGTGCCATGTCTAACAGGACACAGTATACAATAGTTAACATATCCCCATGTTCACGGTGTTCTTCTTTCCTGCATGTAAACCAAAATGAACTGCTTTAACTCCTACTGTTTACTAAAACCCTTAAACAAAAGTGATGAGAGGTGCATATTTGGTGCGTATTTTTAAAAGAAAATAAACACTCATGTTGGGTTTTGATTATTTATGGCGCTGAGAAGAAGGGAACATGGTTGGAGACCCAGTTCAAGAAACTGTGCATCAAATCAAAGAGCTGAATGACAGAAACTGGCTTCAGGGCAACTTCTTGGCAGCTGCATCCTTTGGGAAGCTGGGGGTCTGTCCCGGTACCAGCCACTGGTGCTAACGAAACACAGAAAATGCTTGTTCCAAGGCACATTAGTCCTTTTGATGAAATCAGGAATGCTGTGGGGGTAAAAGACAAAGTTATCCCAGGTTGCTGGCCTCCTTTCTTTAAGTCCAAGAGAGAAAAATTATGGTGAGAGGCTGAGTCTCAGGCTAATAAAGAACAGAGTTGATCTCTGCTTCCTTCAGCAATGGAGCCAAGCAATGCTCTTTCCCCACTCACCCGAGAGCTGAGGTTGAAAGAGGGGTTCAGGCCTGAGATTCTCTTCCTAGAGGAGCCTCAGTGTCACATTGCACAGAAAGGACTCATATCCTCCTGCAACCCACCCCACAAGGAAATCAAAGCAGGAATATTACCTGTTCATACAGATCCTCGTTGAACTGAAATGAAAGAGGAAAGGTTATATATTCAGCCATTGAAACCACCTCAGATAATTTGAGAAACATTTCCATCCCACCAACTTCCATTGGCCATCACTCAATGGATGCCTCGCAAGAGCCTGAGTACTTGGGACCTCATGCATCTGGCTGCATTAAGATCCTAGCCTGGGATACCTCTCTCGCTTTAGGTCATGTTTATTCCCCGACTATCTGATTTCAGTGGCCTCTAGAGCTTTCTGACTTTTCTTTTCTGTCTGAACCCCTCATCATGGAGTAAGTGTGAATATGCCAGGGGAAGGTAAGTCCCGCTCACCCTGCAGGCCTTCTCACCTTTCTTGCTTCTCCTGTGCATGAAGATGCCCACTCCACAGATGATGAGCCCCAGCACGAAGCCCCCGGCTCCCGTCAGCGTCTTACTCCGGGCAGAATCAGACTGTGCCTCTGGGAAGAACAGACTCAGGTTTAGTGTCACCTTCACCAGCTGCGCCCCTATTCACGTCCTGTCTGAAATTCTGGAGCCTGATGCAGAATATTAGGACGAGGACTGTGCCAGGGGAAAAGCTTGCTTAAGAGGAAATTCAGAAAGAGTCACCCTCATATCTGGAACAGAGGGTGTGATCTCAACCAGGTGGCAAATGCTGATTCTGGAAGTTGCCTCTCAAAATGCCTAAGAGGCTAAAATGCTGAAGGAAGAGATCCGTTCCTATGTGTGAGGTCAGTTCAGGAAGGTGTCTGTGTCCCTAGATTCTCTGACAAGGAGAGGAACTATGAATCCTTAGGACCCCTAGGCCAGGGTCAGGCAAGTCTCCATTGCCCCAGTTTGAAACTACGCTCAGGAGTCCGTACAGAAGAAAGATGGCGTTGGACATGGCCCCAGGGTATAGACGCAGAAGACAAGATAAGTGGACCCCCAGAGCCAGAGAGTCCCTGCTCTTCAGAGGTGGGGTCTAGAGGGTCATCAGAGACTAACTCACTCCACTCCATAGTGACAGGACTGTCCAGGCTGGGGTGCTCCACTTGGCAGGTGTAGACGTCTCCCTGCTGGGGGGTCATTTCCAGCATCACCAGGATCTGGAAGGTCCAGTCTCCATTACGGATCAGGTTGGTGGACACGACCCCAGCTGTTTCCTCCTGTCCATTCAGGAACCATCGGACTTGAATGCTGCCTGGGTAGAAATCTGTCACATGGCAGACGAGCAGGTTGTGGTGCTGTAAGGGCCCCTTCTTGGAGGGGGCGATGTTCACCCTCGGCTGGACTAGGAGTGGAGAAGAAAAATAATGAAATAGCGTTTCAGATTGTCCCTCCTTTCCTTCCTTCCCTCCTTCCTTCCTTCCTTCCTTCCTTCCATCATTTTTTTTTTGAGGCATAATCTTGCTCTTTCTTTCTTTCATTCTTTGTTTTTGCTGAGATGGAGTCTTGCTCTCTTGCCCAGTCTGGAGTGCAGTGGCACAATACTGGCTCACTGCAACCTCCAGCTCCTGGGTTCAAGCAATTCTCCTTCCTCAGCCTCCCGAATACCTGGGATTATAGGTGCCTGCCACCATACCTGGTTAATTTTTGTAATATTAATAGAGACAAGGTTTCTCCATGTTGGTCAGGCTGGTTCTCTAGGAGCACTTGACCAACTCCTGACCTCAAGGGATCCGCCCGCTTGGCCTCTCAAAGTGCTGGGATTACAGGCCTGAGCCACTGCTTCTGGCCAGATCATTATTTCTTAGGCATGTTCACTATGTAATTGATCCTAGATGTTGAAAATAGGAATAATGTGATTAGTGTAGTGGGTAGGGGTAGCACTGAAAAGATAGAAATAGACCTTCAGGTAGAGCATGCATGATCTTGAATAAAATAATAATTAGTAAGTATATAGGGGAATGGCAGGGAGACAGTTTGCACTCTGTAGTGCATTTAGGAGAAATTTTAACCAAAGTAATTTGGGCAAAGAATATTTAACCAACTGTGAAATTACCTATCTTTTCAAAGTTCTATCTTGATACAAAGGATGCAAAATTTACTCAAATAATATCTTGAAATTAAGATATACAGACAATGGAATTATGACGGCCTGTTAATCTAATAACTTGATTTCATGAAAATTCAAAGAAAATGAAGAGAGCTTGACATGTCTTATTCTGTAAATAACCTATGTATTTTTTTACCTCACCTACAAAAACTCAAAATCTTCATATTTACAGAATATCCTGAGCCCCTACATGCTTGAGTAGTAGAAATCCCGTCCTTTCCGAGTTCCTCCTCTGTGCTGTGTCTTCAGGTCCCGTGAAGGTTTCACAGATGACCAGGTGTTGCCTCCCTCTGCATCTCTGCATTTGTGCCCCAGCTTGTTCTGTTGTTCTCAGGTCAATTTCCACAACTGCCACCTGCAACTTTGCTTTTGGATCTCTGCCACCAGTACCTTTTTCCTCCTCAGAAGGCAGAAAAGGCCAGGCAGAGTGGTCATGCCTATAATCTTAGCACTTTGGGAGGCTGCAGTGTGAGGAGCACTTGAGCCCGGGGTTTCGAGACCAGCCTGGGCAACATAGTGAGAATCCATCTCTAAAAAGAAAAGTAAATTAGCCGGACATGGTGGTACCTGTATCTGTAGTGCTAGCTACATGGGAGGCTGAGGCAGGAGGATCACTTGAGCCCAGGAGGTTGAGGTTGCAGTGAGCCATGATGGTGCCACAGCACTCCTGCCTGGGAGACAGAGTGAGAACCTGTCTCAAAAACAAACACAAATATAAAACAAAAAACAAACACAGAAAAGGGTCAAGTGCTCCTAGAGAACGGCTCATTCAGGGAAATCCAATAGAGAACAACTCATTCAGAGGAATCCAGTAGAGAACAGCTCATTCAGAGGAATCCCCTAGAGAACAGCTCATCAAGAGGAGTGTCTCAAATTAGTCTTCTAGGTCCCTAATCACTCAGTTCTTTCCTTTCTACTTCTGGAGAACACAAATACCCTGACATGGGACTGGGCCAGGTAAAAGCAGTCTTGAACTGACCCACAACCTTCACTCCCTATTGTATTTTTGCCTTGTTTACAGACTGATCCACACTGCCAGCCTCTTCCCTCAATGTGAGTTTATTTCAGGGGCACCTGGGTCTCACTACTTCATCACCTCTATAAACTCAACGTCCACTAGACTATTCAACCCATGTCTAAATCTCAGTTGTGAATTATGTACAATTTCTTCCCCATAGAGCTCCTGGGAACCATGAAATCAGGGGGAATACTTGAGTGTCTGTTTTAAGGTCCCACAACATTCCATGAGAGGCATCTTACTCGATATTCTTTGTCAGGAGCAGGTCAGCCTGGAGCACATCAGAGACCTCCAGGGGGTGCTGGAGCTAAGGCTTGATACCGAGTGGCCTCATTTCTGACCCAGTTCAAATACATTTCACCAAGGTAAGGATTCCTGTTTGTTCTAGTTGCCTTCTCTAATGCCCAGAAAACATTTCTCAATTACTTCTAGATTTGAGTGGGCATCCACCCTGGAATTGTCACTACTCCTTTCCTCCCCCTTCCACCTCTCCCCTGCCTCTGTGTTTTACTTGTTCTAATTCATGCCTTCATGGCAATTTCCCTGACAAATAATAGCAGTTTCCTACCTCATCTCCCTGCCTCTGGTCCCTCCTCTACCCAACACCCTTAGTAGTCTTCTGAAGATACAACTCCAACCTTGTCTTTTTCATTTTTCAGAAATCTTCAGTGTTCTGACAATACTTATCTGGCTACAGGGGAACCTCTAGGGAGCTGATTACAAACATAGATCCCCAGACCTCCCCACCCAGGAAATCTGAGTCTCAGGGCAGTGAGTCTGGGGATCTGTGCATCACAGAGGGTCTCCAGGAGAGTCCTCTGAGCAGTGAGGTTGGGGAACTACGGGCCTAGAGGAGAAACCCACACTCCTTAGGCTGGCATCAGGGCTCTCTGCAATCTGGCAGTTGATTACTGTGAAAGAAAATGCTGCCATGTCACTGATTTGTGCCTCTACAAAGTCTTAGTAACAGTTTTTGCCAATTGCATTACTTTTATTTGAACACCTCTCTCAACCATTACCTCAGCAACTTTCCTAAACTCATGTCACTCACCTCATCCCCACCCAATGTGTCCACCTTCTCACTCCTAGCAGGTGCACTTCCTTTCACTTTCCAGGAACAAGGAAATCAAAGATGTGATCTCCCCAGCTTCCTCCTCCTCCTCCCTTCATTGTTTCTTCTCTCTAGGAAAAAGCCCCAAGGCTCAACCCCATGCCCTGATACTGCTCTCTCAGGTCCCTCAGGTTGGTGCACCAAGCTCCCCACCCCACAAGTTCACAGGAGGAAGCCAAAGCTCCAAGGCCCTCCTGTCTCATCCTTAAGAAATCCTCTTACTGCACACATCTCACCTCTCTCCATCCCTTTACACCCAGACTTTGTGAAGGAAAGGATGAATGAGCTCAGACACTGCCCTGTGCCAGCCATGGGGAGCCCAAGACAAATAAAATCCATCTCAGCCCCGAGGAAGATGTGCCATACTCAGCCCCATCCACCCCCTCCCATTCCAGCTCCCACCGCTGCAGCCAACCTGCTCTCCCCAGGTCTCCCTGGTTTCCAAACCCACTTTCCGTCTTCTGTTTTCTGACCTTTCCAAGTCACTGGCACCGCTGTCCACTATGCTGCTGAGGTCCCCTCCCCTCAGCCTCCAGGACTCTTCTCTGCAGGCCTCTCCTCACACTGCACTTGGTTGTTATTTTGTTTTTGTTTGTTTTTTGGCTCTTTCACAGGCTTTTCTGTCTTAGCCAAATCACAACTGTCCAGTTGCCGGGATCCAGCCCTTTGCTCTTCCCCCGGGGTCCCTCTCCCTGGGTTGTCTCATGTAGCCCAGTCTCCTCCCTGGCTGCAGACCCTTCTGTTTACCTTCCCCTCAGACCATCCATCTGGCCCCTCAAGCATCTCAAACCCAGCCGTCTCCGCAGGTGTCTTCTCTGCGTGGCCTGCTGTGCCATCTCCACCTCCATCTCCACACCACACCCCTGCACGCTCTCCTGTGACCTCCTTTCCCCTCATCCCACATGCAGTCAGCTGCCAGGCCTGACGAAGTCCAGGGGGTCTCTCTGCTCCCATCTTCCTCACTCCATGCTCAGCCCAGTCCAGGTCCACACGCTCCCTCCCCTGACATGCTCCCCCATGAATCCCGAGCCCAAAGTCCCCTTTCCGTCTGGCACTAAGGTCCCTTAGGCCGCCCCGGCTGCTTCTGCGCCCTGGGCACAGGCCCCCGAGGCTGCCCTGGGATCCCCAGCCCAAAGCCCTCACTCACCTCGGCGCTGCAGGGTCACAGCCTCGTTCACCTCGTAGTTGTGTCTGCACACCGTGTCCGCCACTGCCCGCTTCTCCTCCAGTTTGTCCTTCTGGCTGTTCCAGTTCTCCGCAGTAGGCCGTCCCATCTCTGTCACCGCCCGGAACTCCCCCACGTCGCTGTCGAAGCGCAGGAACTCCTCCCGGTTGTAGATGTATCTCTCCAGGAAGCGCTGTGTCCCGTTAATCGCGTAGCATTCCTGCCGTCCCTGGAACAGGTAATTCTCTGCGGGAAGGGGGCGGACATCAGCGGGGGCGCCACTCTCACCTAATCCCCTTTCTCCCTCTCTCAATTTTAACGATTTTTCCAAAATCTTCCCACTCAGGACTGGATTTTAAAATAGGAGTTTTCCTAGTACCGAGTTCCGTGGTCCTAGGCAGGTCGCTGAGCCTCTCCAGGCCTGTTTTCTCACCACTGCAATAAGAGGATTTACTGAAAAGAATGAGATTCACTGCTCAGGGGGACTGAGTGATCACCAGGGAAGGGCGAACACTGAGGGGAAGGCAGTCCCTTCTGCTGGCGGCTGGAGGAGGAGGGGGAGACGTTTCACGTGGGGTCGCTGGGAGAAAAAACAGGGGCGGGAGGAGCTGGGGACGTCGAGGGCAGAGCTGCTCCCCCTACTCAACTCCCTGCCTGCCATTTCCATCCTGATATCAGTCCTGGTTCAAATGCCACCTCCTCCAGGAAGCCCTCCCTTCCTTCTTTCTCTTTTCCACAGCTAGACACTCTCTCTTCTCTACCAGTTTCTGAGAATTCCTCAACCTGTTCCTGTTGTTTTGCATTTAGGAAATGTAGAAATATGTTTCTTAAAACTTTCTTCAACTTTGGTAAAAGAAAGACTGTAGCCTGAAAGTTAATTTTCAAACATGGCTGCAGAAAGACTTGGTGTCAAAAGATGTGGAAAATATTTTAAACAATGAAAATCACCACAACAACCAGGGACCTGTTGGGGTGGAGTCCTTTGGGTTTAGAGGAATTGATCTAATTTTTTTTTGGCAGTTTTTATGGTTTTATTTAAACACAAAACATGGACGTGAACTTTGTACTCATTTTCTTTGCTGTGCACCCTGGCATTGCGGTTGGTGACTGATGGCTGGCTGGGTGACTCTTTCCACGATGGCTTTGCAGTTCTTGGAGAAAACTTTGTGAGTGATCTCAACACGGTAAGATTTGTTGCACATCAGCAGCACTTTCAGCTCCTTGATGTTGTAGACTAGAAACTTCTGAAAACCACTGGGCAGCATGTGTTTTTGTTGTTGTTGCTCCCATAAGCAATGTTGGGCATCAAGATCTGGCCCTCGAACCTTCTAAGAACCCTGTTGTCAAGACCTCTGGGTTTCTGCCAGTTACACTTAATTTTGACATTTCAGTCTGAGTGGTGCCGCATGAACTTGTTGGTCCTCTTTTTGAGGATCTTGGGCTGCATGAGGAGTCTGAAGGAGGCCATGATGCGGAGGAAGAGATGGCTGCCAGCTGCATAGGCAGCGCTGAGGAAGACAGCATTGATGTAATTTTTACATAAAGAACTTTGGCAGCCTTTCCCACATGCTGTTCTTCCTAGGGAGCCCAGTGAGCAGTGTCTGGCAGGTGTGTGTCTACACAGAATTATCAGTAACCTGGCACATGTTCGTTTCTGTTTGAGTCTCTTCAGGCCTGCTCTGTTCTTGGGCACATTGGGGAAATTAAGGTGCTGTGATTGTTCTGCTTATCTGTTTCATGCTCCACAAATTAACTTCTCCAGTTTATTAACATCAACCCTCACAGAAGCTGCACAGCTGATGGCAGAGGACAGTGGAGATGGGGTGGGGCTGTTTGGTCTCCAGTGTCATCGCTAAGGCAAGATCCCAGGCCTTGACTCAGATATCCTGACCTGCCTCTTCTCCTGGTGCCTTGGGCTCCAGCCCCGTAAACTTCCAGGCCCAGCGCCCCGTAGCTCCTTGAGACCAGATTCCTCCTCCTCTGCCTTCCACCCGCCCCTCCCTGTTCAGTTGCCCTGCTCTGAGTGTGGATTCTCCCATTTTCATTTGTTAGTCTTTGTTTCTCCTTATTCACCAGTAAGAGAACACTTTTCACTCAAGAATAAGAATTTTGAATTTTTTTCTTTGCAATATTTAATTCTTTTTTTATTTACCCAGTCTTAGGTAATTTTTTAAGTACATTTAACTTTTGAAATGGAATTTTACCTGCCAAGTAGACATCAGCGATGAGGGGTTTTATAGTATAATTTGAAACCTTCGTTTTTGTTTTTTTGGGTTTTTTGTCTATAAGAATCTTTACCCTGTTTGTGGAACCCTTAACAATTGAGTTGCCCAGAGCACAGTTTGAAACCTCTGATCTAAATGAATTCATCTCTCAGAACAGGAGATAGTAAAAACCTCTAACTCCCTATGGGTTGTCTCAGCCAAGCTTTCCTCTCACAGCCTCTTTAAGCCACAGCCTGGCTCCTCAGACCTTTTTTCTTGTGCTCTGTTTGAGGTTGGGGATGTGTGTGGAGTTGTAAGAGCATGCAGGGCATTGTGAAATGGGCCCTGCCCTCTCTTCCCACTCCCCTATGGCTCCAGCTCTCCCTCCAGCAAGTTTTGATTGAACATTCATTCTACACAGGGAGCTCCAGTAATGCACCCTCAGTCCCTGTCACATGGCTCTGCTGCCTCATCTCATTCCCCCTACAAACCTCAACCCAGCCTTTGCCCCTCCTCCCATTCACTGCCCAGCATCACATGCCCCCTTCTGCTCTCTGCTCCCCAACCTCTGGGTTTCCTTGGTGGCTTCCAACACTGTCCCTCATCCCACATGACAGCTCTGCCAATGGAATGGGGGCGCTGCATCCCCCACCTTCTGCTGGACACTGTTCAGTGTCACCAGTGCTGCTCCAGCCTCCTCTTTCCCCACCCTCATCCCTCTGCATTTCCCAGGGCTGAGCTGTCCTGCTGGTTAGTTCTCAGCACCCCTCTGTGACTACAAGTTCAAGTTCTCCTCCCCTTCCCAGACAATGAACCCAAGGTAATAGATAAGAGGTTTTAGGGTTTGAGGGGTTGTATTCAGGAGATTCCAACCTTGCTACCCTGAAAGATGAGGAGGTGACATGATGTCAGTACCTTCTAGGTGTGTGCTAGGAGGGGTGTGGAGGGGTCTAGGAGGAAGGGTGTAAGCAGAAAAGGTGGAAGTCAGTGGAAAACTAAGGTATCTACTTTGCAGTCCTTCCACTCAAAGTGTTGGTGTAAATTTGGACTAGAAATATCCTGAGAGTATCCTGAGAGAAAAACAATGGATCATAGATGCCATAATATTACACCAGCCACAGGGAGGCGGCAGGAAGAAGAGATTTTTCACTCGGTTACTGCTTTCTCGGCTGTCTGATAACCTGCACTCAATCCCTGTTATGCACCCACACAACCTCATCTCATTCTTCCTACAAGTCTCAACCCCCTCTAGTACTCTCACCAAGTTCTGGGGAGGCAGGGAGAAGTACCTTTAATGAGAATGGCTTCAGGGGCTAGAACCTGTCTCCCTCCCATCTTGCCTTCATTGTTCAAGGGGTGTGGGCTCCTGCTACACCCTGGGGAATGAGAGGCATTCTTCATGAGCACTGAATCCTCAGTGATCCTCAGAGCCTGGACACTCCAGCTTAGGGCTGTCCGCCTGAGTCCCCTCCAGGCTGGACGTGAGCAAGCCCAGGAGCCTGCACTTGCCATCTTCTCTCTCTGTAAACATTGTCCATCAAGTTTATCCTGCACCTCTTGGCCCACTTTCCCAAAGACAAGCATACTGACCACTGGGCACCTCTCTCTGTTTGCTGTACCCATGTCCTTGGAGAGAGAATAGGCCTGTGGGGTAGCAAGTTATCCTGTAGGGGAAGAACCTCTTTCTCTAACTGGGAAGGGAGGTCACTGCCTTAGGGCGGGAGCCCCCACAGTCTGCCTCAGAATTTGATTCCTTAAAGATAAAGTCCCCTAGGAATTGTTCCCTGAGCCAGACCCTCCAGGAATGGCAGTTCTTCTCTTACCTGGAGTGGCCCTGCCCCGGACCACAGATGTGAGCAGCACCATCAGTAATGCCGTCAGAGCCACTGTCCCGGGGGCCGCAGAAACCTGCAGAACCATCATGGAGCTGGAAAAGGATGGCAAAATGAAAAGAGCTGCAGTCAGGAAAAGAAGGACTCACTAAAGGGAGCTCTTGTATGAAATATTAGAGACCATGAACCCAAGTAGTCTTCTGTGACCCGGGGATTGGACAGAGTCTGAGAAAAGAACCAATGGGCACTGAGCTTTGTATGAGTCATCACTCGCCGGGCAGACGGTTAGTGTGAAAGGTCCGAAAATATAAAGCCTGTGATGGAGTTAAGATAACAGAGGGCGGACAGTGACATTCACTTTAAGCAGTCAAGTAAGTCATGAGGTTGGGGGAGATGATGTGTTTTCTTTGCTCTGACAGTGATCTCAAATATTCTGCTGGCCCATCTACGGGAATTATCATTTCCCCAATTCTGTCACACCTCACACACCCACAGGACATGATCTGTGGTGGAAGAAAAGTTATCTCAGTATGTAAAAGGTCATTCAGTGGCATGGTTTAGAGGGATTAGAGTACCCATCCCAGAACTCAAATCAGGCCTGGAGTCTGTCTGTCTTGCCTTTGTCCAAGGGTGTATTTAAGATTAGCACCCAATCATATTCACTTTCTCCCAGAGGTTTGTGAGTCCTGCGATGTGCAGGAGAGACCAGGTTCTTCCATAAGACTGCCATTAGGGTCAGCAGGGCTCAGTGTAGGAACCTTAGATAGGGAGCATGGACACACCACCTACCCTACCACGTAAATATGCAGCTTTAACAACACTGCCTCTTTTGGACTTCAGTTCCTTGACTTCAATATGAGGATGACATAACCTGCCTTGTAACAAAGCTCTTAAGATCAAATGAGATCAATAGGTCTGAAATTGCTTTGGAAAAATAAAGTCCATGGAGACTATAAATTGACCAGTAAATAAGGAAGAAAGTGAAAAAAAAAAAATCATCAAAGACTCCACCTCCTTCAAAACATCTGATTCTACTTTGTTTACAGTGAATATTTTTACAAACTTTCAAAGAACATTACTTCTTACTTTAGACACTTATAAATGTGATCTTGTTGGACCACCAATTCTAATTTCAAAAAAGAATCAAATTGGCATCATTTCTTTAAATCGGTATTAAAATGTAAATAGAAGGCTAGCACATAAAATGCAAGAGAAGAAAATAAGTATGTAGTAGAAGATGTCCAGTAGGATTGAGGGGCCAGGAGAGGATTGTGGAGAAAAACTCAGTTTTTTTAGTAACTGCCTGGGTGGGACTCTTCTCCTTGTCATTTACCTGCCGTAGATAATTAAACAAATACTTAATTCCTCCATGTCTCAGGTAATTTATTTTTACAGTAGACATTAATAATACCCCCCTCAGGTTTAATGTGAGGTTTAAATAAGGTAATGCGTGCAAAGCACTAATAACAGCATCTCTCATGTACTAATCTGTTAGTAATTATTTATGCAAGGTAAGGCTACCACAAATAAGATAAAATATTAATGTAATATATGTGCTTCATCATTACATTAAATAGTAAATGTTTTGTGATCTTCTCTATGAGTATCAAATAAATAGCTCAAAATTGAAATATTTAAAATGAGTCTAGAAAAGTAATTTCTTAAATATGGTAAAGAGAATATAAAGTAAAAAAATGAACTTTACCTGTAACAGAAAAGCATTAGACAAACCCTTCTTAAAATCAAGATCAAAATATGGGTGCACATTGTTACCATAGGTAATGCTGTCCTGGGTATTCTTATATGAAAATGAAATAACATGACTAGTAATTTAAAGATAAAAATGTTGTTCTACTGTTTAAATACCAGAAAAAGTCAAATACTAAGAAATCTGAATAATAAAAATTATCTAGAAATTTCACTAACAAAGGTAACCAGGAATAGATAAATACTTAAACATCAACTTCAATCAAGTTAATTAAAACCTCTAAATAGAAATTATAAAACTTATGCAGAATTGATTAAATAAAAAGATCCACCTCTCAGGGAGGTGGACCTGAAAAAAAGATTAATTATAGATTTTATTAGATAGAGCATTCATTCTTAATTATCAGTAGAATATTTTTGTTAACTTGACATCATAACATAAAACATGATTTAAAATATAATGACCAAAAAACATCAAAGATCATCTAACTGTCTGGGATGAGAGTGGGGGCTGGGAGAAGGAACAAAATGGAAAACATTTGCCATCAGAAGAAGGTGTGACTTATCTTTTTATGTCTCTTTCTCTAATTCTGAAAATGAACTGTGAACTGGAGCTCTCTTGACCATGCTGGTACCTAAAATTCTCCCATCTCTTCCCCAGCACCTTCCAGCATCCCCTTTACCCAGCAACAGAGAATGTCAGCTCTATGATTTCTCTGATTGGTGAAGCCCAGCCATGCTGACTCCTCTCCACCCATTTTGACCATTTCCAGTGCTAGAAGCCCACAGTTTCAGAGTCTCATCTGCCTTCCCCCGGCCTCAGTTCCTCATCACTGTTCCTGTGCTCACAGTCATCAATTATAGACCCCACAACGTGTGCCCTGAAGACAGAATGTTCCAGACCAGAGCTGTGATCTTGAGAACCCTCTCCTTGGCTTTCCTGCTGAGTCTCCGAGGAGCTGGGGCCATCAAGGGTGAGTGCTCAGGAGGACATGAGAGCATCAGGGTGAGTGGTGGGGAGGCTCACATCAATTGTTGCTTCAAGAATCAGAGATTTTAGGGGCTCATTGATCTGTCTGGCCCTCATGATAGTCTATGTTCCCTCTGGTCCTCATAATAACAACAGCAATAGCAGCCAGAATTTATGAGATGCCTGCATAGTTTCTTTCCCCATTTACGTCTCACAGGAAACTTCAATGAAGATAATATTCCCTTCATTTAGAAATTATTCCCTTTATTTAGAAATTATTTAGAAAAAACTGAAGCTCAAAAAGATGAATACGTTTTCCAAGGTTACACAGCAGATCAACGAGCCAAGTTTGAAGTCCAGACCCAGCTCTGAGGGTCATACACTGCCTTCCCCAGACTCTTGCACACAGTGACCTTCTACCAGGGCCCTGCAGGGCCCCACACCCCTCCTATCTCTCTGGGATCCCCAGCCTCTGTCTTTTGTGGCTGCTTCACAGGAACTCTGAACTATGGGCTCTGCATTAGGAGAGGAAGTGCTAAGAGTGTTCCTGTATCCTCCCTCCCTCTCCTAGGACCCTACAGCTCTTCCTGGGTCTTTGTGGGTGGTCACAAGCTTTCCTCTCTCAAGACAGCAGTGTTGCATGGTCTTGACAGCCTTGTGATTCGGGTCCTGAGAGATCCAGGACTGCAAGAGAGGCCTAGGCTTTGGATAGCTGCAAGGACTGAGACAGAGATGGACCGTGGTGAATGCTCTTTCTTCCCATAGCTGACATCAGGGAGAATGACATCAAGCCTGTGCATGATGCTGTCATCCCAAAATCTAGTGATGGGGAAGGTTAGAATCCATAACAAACAAGATGCACACTGGCCTCAGACAGTTTTATTTAAGATGTGTGGAATAAATAGAAGTGAGGCTGGGGAGAATCAGAAATATCTATTGCCCCGTTCATGGTCACCTGGGTTATTTCTAACGTTATGTTATAATAAACACCACAATGGGCATCTCTTCATAGATTTGAATACTTTTTAGGATTCTTTGTAAAAATTCCTAATAGCTCAGTTGTCTCTTCAGGGTTTCCCTGCCCAGTGGTTCCCTTATCATCTCATTAATATAATTATATATATATATATATAATTTCTTTTTTTTTTTTTTTTTTTTGAGACGTAGTCTTGCTCTTGCTTCCCAGGGCTGGAATGCAGTGGCGACGATTTTGGCTCCACTGCAAGTTCACGCCTCCCGGGTTCCACCCCTTCTCCTGCCTCAGCCTCCTGAGTAAGCTGGAACTCACAGGCGCCTGCTAACCGCGCCCGGCTAATTTTTTATCATTTTTAGTAGAGACGGGGCTTTTCACTGCTGGTCTCGATCTTCCGACCTCGTGATCCGCCCGCCTCGGCCTCCCAAAGTGCTGGGATTACAGGCGTGAGCCACTGCGCCTGGCTGTCTCTTAACATTTAAACATATCCTTTACCTTAAAAACGTAAGTGCAAACTAACTGATAAAAAACAACTGTGACTTCAGTCTGCATCCTACCCTAGAGACACTTTCTTTGTGTCCTCCCACTTGGAGCTAAGCTTCTGACTTTTGTCTCCAGTACATCCCTAAGGATCCTCTCCTCATGGCCATCAGGAACCTCTGCAGAAAGTCAAATCCAGTGGGTTCTTCTCAGTGCCTCTGACTTGAGTTACTAATAACATTTGCACTGTAATCCACTTCTTTCTGATGAACTACCCTGTCCTTATTTTTCTCCTGTTTCCCTGGGTCCCCCTTATCATTCTTTAAATCACCTCTTAATTATCACATTCTCTCATTAAACTCTGAGATCTCTGCAATTCTGACTTTTGGCACTCTTCCTGGAAAATCTCATCTAACCTGCACCTGCCTCTAATGACTCTCAATTCTTTGGCCTAAACTCCTCTCCTGAGACCACCCATCATCCACAAATGTCTATGTATTATTTCTCCTTAGATGACTTCCAGTTCGTCTACTGCAATAGCCCCACAGTGAACTCAGGATCTTCTCCTGGTCAGGCTGTCTTCCCTGTGAGAAGTGGCTTTTGCCCTGTTTTCTGAATGCCTACATTGAAGCTATCTGTTCCCCAGGAAGCCTTCCCTGATGTGCTGTTTGATCACGTCTTGTGTATACCCATGTATCTGCACTTATGCTTCTGAACCTGCTGTTGTCTTGTCACTTGTGTTTCCTTCTGTGAATTGTACGCGTCTGCAGAACAGGACCGATGTATTATTTTTATTTGAATATTTAGCATCTAACAGTGTTTGACATGTAGTAGTCTTTTAATACTTATTTTTGTCTGAATGGAAATGATATTTTGAAGTAAAATAATCTGTTCCATATCTGGCTGATCTTTAGACCACAGAACTTGCGAAAGTGTTTTTTAAAAAGCATTTATAAAAGTACGAGGGACATTCATGTACTAAGAAGATGAGTTCCCAGTAATTGCTAGAGGACTGTGTCTTTTTATTTTACCCTCTTTTTCCTGATGGGTCCTTTGAGTCCTTTAAACTGAGAAGGAAGCTAAGTTTCCTTGTGAAACACCTATAGGATTTATTTTGTTTAGTTGGAAATACCACTCTTTGCTTGGCCACTTACTGTGACAGGGAGTCATTCTCAGTGAAAAATAAGACACAGACCCTATCCTCCAGACACAATTACAGTGACAGGGAGTCATTCTCCCTGTCATTCTCCCTGTCACTGTAAGTGGCCAAGCACAGACTGGGTCCCCACATGTCAGGGCTGCAAACTCACAGGGAAATCCGTGAGTTGGGAGGTGAGAGCGGATGAGCCCCATAGTTCCTTCTCATTCTCATGTATTTATCATTCTAAACCCAGACTTTCACATGCACATTCATTGTTTTCTTTTATGATAATAGCTGCTTTTTTCCTCTTATCTCTGCTACTTCTTGTAAACTAATAAAGACTAAGAAACAAAATAAATTAAAACCTACAGGTGTTCCAAACTCAGCAATAATTTCTAGTTGGCCTCTAAAACAAAAATCAAAATATAAATGTAAGAAGAGTTTAGAATGCTTAGTACCTGGGTGATGAAATAATCTGTACACTAAACCCCCGAGTCATGAGTTTACCTGTATAGCAAACCTGCACATGTACCCCGAACATAAATGTTGAAATATTTTTAAAAAGGAAACAAAAGTTTGGAACAAATGCTAAAATAACTGTACTGTATTTTTGAATTTATATGCCCCAAATGAAAAATATTATCAACAAAGCTATACATTCTACAGTTTCATGTTCATAAACTAAGACAGAAACTTTAAAACTGTCAAGAGCACTAAAATTTGAAGGATATTTCTTCTTCCTCTCAATTTTGTATTTTTTTCTCCCTTTTCTGTAATAAGAAAAAAAAAATGTCCACTCCCTCACCCCCATGACTCTAAAATCAATTTTACATCTGTGTCCTAGAAGAATTAAGATCTTAAGGGGAGAAAAAATCTCTCTGCTAGTTCCACCAGTAGCCGTATGACTTTAGCAAGTTATTAATATATAACCTCTCTGCATTTCCTTAGCTGTAAAATAGTATGCTATGTATTTGCTTCATAGGGTTATTGTGATAATTCAATGAGGAAATATATAAAGTATTTAGAAGGATGCCTGGTACAAGTGCTCAGCAAATGTTCGCTGTCATTGTTACTATTACTATTGTGTAGGGTCAGGATGCCCAGACTTTCAAAGACCAGGAAGCAGCTTGACTTATCAATGATAAACTTTTCATTTTGTTCTTCACTCCCTTCTTTTTATAACTGCCCATCTGCTGTGTATTATTTCCTTTATGGTGTTGCTCCTTCTTCTTCCCTGTATGTCCTTCCTTTGACCTCTTACCTTCTTCCTTTTTATATTCATAAGTCTTTATTCATTCTCGAGCTTTCACAACTAGCATATTCAAATTGACATTTTGTCATGTTTTTCTCTACTTTCTTTATGCAGCGGACCATGTGTTAACTTTTGCCGCATTTGTACAGACGCATAGACCAACAGGGGAGTATATGTATGAGTTGGATGAAGATGAAATATTCTTTGTGGATCTGGACAAGAAGGAGACTGTCTGGCATCTGGAGGAGTTTGGCCGAGCCTTTTCCTTTGAGGCTCAGGGCGGGCTGGCTAACATTGCTATATTGAACAACAACTTGAATGTCACGATCCAGCTTTCCAACCACACTCAGGCCACCAATGGTATTGCTCTTCCTCTGTAACCCAACTGGAAGGGATGAGAGGGCCTCTCTGCCACCCTCAGACTAGGAAGCCTAAGTGCCCCCTGTTGTGTGATACCCTTCCCCTAGTGGCCATGGGCTGATCCCACTACAGTAGGGACTTGCATCCTCTCTTCTTTGGAGAGAGAAAGGTGAGCAGAGTGAGGCTGGTCAGTGGTGTGATTCAGGAACCCAGAGCTGCCGTAAAATCTAAGGCTGAGGTAGATGACCCTCCCAGAGGTGGGACCTTTGTGATTCATCCCAGAACAGGGCCTAACCTGGTCCTGTCTCCTCCCAGATCCCCCTGAGGTGACCCTGTTTCCCAAGGAGCCTGTGGAGCTGGGCCAACCCAACACCCTCATCTGCCACATTGACAAGTTCTTCCCTCCAGTGCTCAATGTCACGTGGCTGTGCAACGGGCAGCCGGTCACTGAGGGTGTCACTGAGAGCCTCTTCCTGCCCAGAACAGACTACAGCTTCCACAAGTTCCATTACCTGACCTTTGTGCCCTCGGCCGAGGACTACTATGACTGCAGGGTGGAACACTGGGGCTTGGACCAGCCGCTCCTCAAACACTGGGGTATGCAGCTCCTTTTCTCTCCATAATCTTCTGGCATCCTCTATTCCAAGGACCTGGTGTTCTCTGCACCAGCTTTCCCCACTGACCAGGTCTCAGTCCTCTCCCCGTCCTAACATCCAATTAACCGGTCCATAACCTTCAATTCCCACAACCATCCCAGGCCAGAACAACCCTCACTGCACCTCCTGACCCTATCTCTTCATTCTTCCCCCAGAGGCCCAAGAGCCAATCCAGATGCCTGAGACAACGGAGACTGTGCTCTGTGCCCTGGGCCTGGTGCTGGGCCTAGTGGGCATCATCGTGGGCACCGTCCTCATCATAAAGTCTCTGCGTTCTGGCCGTGACCCCCGGGCCCAGGGGCCCCTGTGAAATACTGTAAAGGTGGGAATGTAAAGAGGAGGCCCTAGGATTTGTAGAATGTAAGGAAGGGAGGAAAAATTCAATCCAATAAGTGTTCATTGATCTTCTAATGGGTTAAAAGCATTCAGCCACATAACAACAACAACATTGATAACTAACTGAGTGGTTAATATGTTCAGGCGCTATTCTAAGCATTTACATTTATTAATTCACTTTATTCTCACAAAGAATCTCTGAAGTAGGTACTATTATTTTCACCATTTCACATGAGAGATACTTACATCTTTTTACATACACAGAGACCTTAAGTACCTTGATCAAGTTCCCACAGCTATGAAGTAGTAGGGCTAGCTTCCAGTCCAGAAAGTCTGGATCCAAGACTGTTTATCCACTGTCCTATACACCCTATTTTGTGAAGTAAATGACCAAGTTCAAATTCTCCAAGAGTCCATTGTCTAATAATGGAGCCAGATCTATATTTCTATACATAATTACAACACAGTGTGGTGGGTGCCTGTAACTATTTACTGTCTCTACTTGCACTCATTCCACGGCAATGCTCATACAAATAATGCCCCTCCTGAGATCTTATGGGTTTCTATTTATCATAACACTCACCTCGTTTTATATTTTTATATGTTTGGGAAATTCTCTTAGCATTAGACAGTGAACTTCCCTGCAGATGACCACATCTAATTCATTATTATTATTATTGTTATTCATGCTGGACCTCAGGTACAAAAGGTTAAGAACTTCTCAGTTCATTATACTGTCATCATTGGTGCCTCCGAGCTCTCTCTCTTGATTTAGTTGGTCCCTTTTATCTCCAGTCCTTACTCCCATATCTAACCTCTTACCCCTACCTCATAGGTAAACATTTTAATGAATTTGATGTTTCCTTTTATTTGCATAGATCCTCTATAATATGTAGTAATGTCCAGTGTACATGTATTTTTTAATTAACCAAAATGGCATTAAATTATAGATCTAATTTTGTACATCCAGTTTGCTAATTTTGTACATCCAGTTTGTTTTTTCCAAATCTCCCATAATATTTTACTCTATATGTCCATGCATTAGTCCATTTTGCATTGCTGTAAAGGAATATATGAAGTTACCTAATTTATGAAGAAAAGAGCTTTAATTGGCTTACAGATCCACAGGCTCTACATGAAACATGGCACTGGCATCTGCTTCTGTTAGGGGATTCTGGGGGGATTCTGGAAGCTTTTACTCATGGTGGAAGGTAAGGGGAGCCGGTGCATCACATGGTCATAGAGGGAGAAAGAGAGAGAGAAAGAGGTGCCAGGCTCTTTTTAACAACCAGGTTTCATGTGCACTAATAGATGAGAACTCACTCATTACCCTGGAGAGGGCACCAAGCCATTCATGAGGGAGTCTCCTCCATGATTCAGGCCCCATCTGCAACATTGGGGATCAGTTTTCAACATGAGACTTGGAAGGGACAAATACCCAAATCATATAAATCCACATATCTATATTGCTCCTGGGATACCTAGATTATCCCTGGTTCTCTACTATTGCAAGCAATGCTTGTATCTCACATGAAACTACATATGCTTGTGGGCCTGACCTGCATCCCTGGAATATATGTATCCTAGAAAGGGGTTGCAGGGTCGCTGGAGATAAAGCTCCTTAATTTGACTAAATACTGCTCATCTTATTATCAGAATGGCTGTACTCATCTATACTTCCTTAGTCAATACCTGAAATGTCCTGCAACTCCTAAATGCACTTCAATACTGGACATTATTCAGTTTTCTAACTTTTGCCAATTTCACGTGCAAAAAGAAATATGCTGTTTTATTTTGCATTTCTTAATTACTAATAATTGGGGCTATAATTAGGACTGATTAGGCACTTGGGAGTTCCTTTTCTATAAATTGCCTGTTCACATTCATTGACCATTTTTGTACTATGTGCTTCTATCATTTTCTTATTGATTTGCAGGTGATTCTTATATAGTCCTGCTAGCAGTCCCTTGTCAGTTTTAGTTTGTCCCCAGTTTAGTTTTTAGTCCCTTGTCAGCAAATGTTTTCCCCTAATCTGACTTCTGGCAACTTTCTCCTTAGTTTCCTTTATTGAAGAGAAATCCTTAATATTTTGTAATGAAGTCTATCAACTGTATTTTTGTTTGTGTGTCTTTTTTCAAAGAAGTCTTCCGTATACTGAGATATCAAAGATATTTTTAAAACATCTCCTACAGTTTTAAATTTCACATGTACTACTTTAATTCATCTGGGATTCATCTTTGTGTTTGATGGGGATCATGTTTTATTTTTCTCTATATAACGGGCAAATGTGTTCTCACAACTACTAAATAGTTCACCTTTTCCCCATAAGTTTGTGGTGTCTCCTTTGCTATACTGAAAGCTCCCCTTACAGATGGGCCTGTGTCTGAGTTTCCATCTTGTTCCACTGTTCTGTTTGTCTCTTCTTGTGCCAGTGTCCTAATGTTTTGATTACTATGACATTGTAGTGTGTGTTAGTATCCGGTAGGACAAATTCTTCTTTATTTTTCTTTGTTCACACACATTTATAATTATATATATAATGATTTGTAACAGAATGAAGTGAATGTAGAATGTCAGATGTTAAGAGGAAGAATGGAAAGGAGGGCTGGGACTAGGGTCATGTAAGGGATGCACTTGACTTAGGTGCAAAATTTGGGGGATACCAAAAGAACTCAGTAATAAATCATATTTTAATGAAATATCTTGAAAGAGCAAAATTAATGCAAAGATACATGATTAACAAAATATCAAAAGAGGAATATTTAACGAAAATAGAGAAGAAGCAGAGAGGCAGAAGAATTAGGAGAATATGTTGTCACGTAAGCCAAGGAATTAAAGAATTCCAAGAAGGAGGAAGTACTGCTGTCAAATGTTCAACAGAGGTCATTTTAGAAAATTTACCTTGGTTTTGAAATCTTTTCAAAGAGCAATTTACATAGTATGAGTAAGTATCCTTCCTTCATTGCCATCATTTATATGGTTTGGATATTTGTCCCTTCCAATTCTTATTTCAGGGTTAAGCTTCTTCTCTGCTCTCAGTAATGTGACCCTTCCCCTTGTCAGGATATTTTGGAAACATGAAGCATGTGGGATGCCCTCAAAGTCAGCTGGGGTTTGAGGGTGAAATTCAATGACTTTAGTGAACTCCTTGGCTCCTATGTGCTGTTCACCTGGAGGACCAGGGCATGTGCAGGAATGACCATCTTCTCCCTGGGACCTGAACAGGGCAGAGAAATGGGAAGCTCGGGTGCAAAGGGAGTGGGGAAGATGGCTTTGGGCTTACAGTACTGAACCCAGGAATGACAGTAACTGTGTGTGTTGCTGCAGGTGACAAAATATCTGAACAGAAGAGGACTTAGGAGAGATCTGAACTCCAGCTGCCCTACAAACTCCATCTCAGGTTTTCTTCTCACTTCATATGAAAACTACTCCAGTGGCTGACTGAATTGCTGACCCTTCAAGCTCTGTCCTTATCCATTACTTTAAAGCAGTCATTCCTTAGTAAAGTTTCCAACAAATAGAAGTTAATGAATAAATGTTGACACTTTGGTAGCACTGATATGGAGATTATCCCTTCATTGAGTCTTTTATCCTCTGGTCTCCTTTGAAGAACCCCTCCACTTTCACCTTCTGGAGAATACCCTAAGACCAATAAACACTTCAGTATTTCAGAGCTGGGAGACTCTGAGTCATTCTTACTGGAAGTCTAGGATCAGGTCACATGTGAACACTATTTCTTGAAGGTGTGGTTTCAACTTCTGTTGCAGATGTAGTTACTAAAGGTTCTGATCCCACCTGAATGGAAAGGTCTGAGGATAGTGATTCAGCCCTGGGTTCTTCCCTAACTACAGGATAGGGTGGAGTAGAGAAAGGATATCGGGAGGAAATTTTACTTGGATGAAGATTTTCTTGGATGTAGTTTGAAGACTGCAGTGTTTGAAGTCTCTGAGGGAAGAGATTAAGTCTGTCTCGATCAAGATTTCAGGCAGATTAGGATTTCATTCACAGCCCCTGAGCTCCCTTCCCAAGGCTGGATTGTAATTACAGCAATATCTCATGGAGGATTTTTCTACATGATAAACTAACAGCCAAGAAATAAAATTTTAAAAATGCCCTCATTCATTGCAGTTTTTACCAACTATAGTCACTCCATGTGGTAGAACTTAAATCATTATTACCAGAGCTTTCAAAGATTTGAGAACAGTGGTGATTATGAAGAAAAATATCTTATTTGAGCAACGATTTTGTTTCTTTATGAGTGTTCATTAGATATTAAGATGAAAAAAGCATGAGATGGTAAAAATGCAGATAAATATTATAACATGTTTTCTAGTTTTTCTTTATATTTAAGTTAAAAAAGGAATTGTTTAAAGTGAAAATCATTTGGGGATTTATAACATACCCAGCAGGAAAATATGATGACCATGGCACAAAGAATAGAAGGGAGAAATGGAAGTATAATGTTGTAAGTTTCTTATACATGTGAAGTGGTATGTTATTATTTGAAGGTAGAATGTATTAAGATGAATATTTAAAACTCCTGACAACTACTGAAAAAAAAGAGGTATAGCTAAGAGACCAACAGAGAAGATAAAATAGAACACTAAGCATAATTAATTCAAAATAAAGAAATAAAAAAGGGAAAGTCTGAGAAGACAAAGAGAAAACAATCTGTAAGACGGTAGAGTTTAAAACAACCATACTAATAATTGAATTAAATGCACATGGCCTAACCACTCTAATGAAAAGGCAAAGATTGTCAGAATGCACAGAAAAATGTACAGGCCAACGTTATGCTCTCTACATAATGCCCTCTTTAAATATGAAGGCAAAGACAGGTAAAAAGTAAAAGAATGGGAAAATATGTATATATCATGGAATACTATGCAGCCATAAAAAATGAGTTCATGTTGTTTACAGGGACATGGATGAAGCTGGAAGCCATCATTCACAGCAAACTAACACAGGAACAGAAAACCAAACACCACA